CAATATTGCCCATAGTTTATTATCTAGTTTCAATAGAAGATCAGGGGTATGGACAAAACTCTACACTTTATGGTAGTTTTACGACGCAAAAACTTCTAACTATATTATATGTGTAGAGATTAACTTGAATAGAGATTTTAAGGCAGAAGTTCAGAACTCTGGACGTGAAATAAGCGTAAAACAAAAAACGAGTTCAGCAAAATCTTTAATCTGACGGTAAATCTGAAGTAATTAATATTTTAGCTAAAATCAGCACTTCGAACAACCTTTAAAACCATTTTGGTCTGACCCAGTAAAGCTGAGACTTCGGCTTTTTGTTAAAGCCAAACTAGTCAAAGTCGGCAGCCCTACAGTCAAACGCAGAGACCGCAAACTAAATTTACATTAGGTTGGCCCACTTTTAAACTTCTGGTCAGTTCGGACGGGCGATGTTTCAAGCTATAAATTAATGGACGAAAAATTGGGGATCGGATTTCCAAGTAATGCCTACTATTAAGGGAAATGTTATGATAAATTAGCAAAGATGTTTTACTAATTTGATATGTTTGGGTAGGGAAATGGTTGACCTTTGAAAGTTTCCCTTTCAGTAACCCGAGGCATATTTATCATCGATAAAAATAATGAAAATAGTCGGTGATTGCAATTGATCGAGGATAAGCCAGTCGGCGTTTTCGTGACTGACTTGACCATCATCATTGTATGACTGCTCAAATTTTAACAACTGGACCTGTGACTATGATATGATTGAAAATTGTTGTACATAAGTATTCTACAATCTACATTATTCCACGCTCAAGGCCTACATATTTACATACGAAGAAATACGCCTAATAGCGGTCAATCTACATCCTTGGATCTATGTATTTTTAACCTGTTTGCTCTACAGTCAGTACCTACGTTTGCCAAGACGAATATTCTTCTCTCAAGAACCAGTTAACCCTAAAGTAATTTCCGTACCATTTTCCATTATTGTAAGTACAACTCTTAAACATAATCTACTTACAGGATAGCTAACAATACGATTACCTCATCCGATTTCTGTGGCTCATTTTGCACGCATCGGTTCCACGGGGAAAACAGAATTAGATCCCAACGAATTTAATCAGAAGTAAATCAGGAGGCGTGGGCAACAATAATCAGATTTGCCTTCTTCCAGGAAACAAACAACATGAGGAAAAACCGGAAAATATGGGCCACTAAATCATACTGATACGAGCCACATTATCGCGGTCATATAAATTGTAAACAAGTAGGGTAAACCGTATAGCTATTGCCCACTTAAAGATTTCAAACACATTGAGATGAAAAATTAAAGAAAGTATTTTAATTATCGACCATTTATGACTTTTTTCTTATAACTCAATAAACTGTTCAACAGAATATTAACAGTTTTTAGTTAAAACTTACGTAACTTAGAAAATATTGAAATAAATTTAAAATCCTCCAAAAAGTACAGTCATTGCCCATTACTTACACTAATTGCCCACATCAAAGCACAGTAATTGCCCAGTATCTTTAAACAAAATAATCAATTTTAAAATGACAAAATAGGCTTTAAATAAACAAAACAAAACATTAAACTTAAATTCTAGTAGTACAGTCTTCAAAATTTAAATATAAATTGCGTTTGGCCTTATTAACATAAATATTATCAAATATTTCTTGAGCTGATGTTGAGTCAGAATCGGTAGAGACAGAATCATCTANTCTACTGTACATTGATCACGGAGCCATCTACTTAGTCAATTCAAATCTAACTAGAGTGATTTAAAGTCAGCACCTGACAATATTATTCTTAAAGCGGGCAATCACTACCAGTGGGCAATCACTCTCTGGTTTACCCTACATTAGTACTGTGGAGTGCTTCTCTTATTCTTTGCAAATAGCTTTTGGATAACAGATTAAGCTTATATACGTATACGTAGCTTTAGTTCACTGATTGTGTTGCACTTATGCTTCAACCACACCAACGCGTGCAGATCGCATCGCCCGGTGCGATCATAGGCCAATGACAGGTCGCGCGGACTGTCATGGGTCGCGCGACCTGTCATTGGCCTATGGCCTGTCATTGGCGTATGATCGCGCCGACGATCGCGTTGGTGTGATTGAAGCTTTAGGTATTATTTAAACTGCCTCTGCGCTACACATGGAGTGAATTTACTGTCAAATAAATACCTGTCTTTAGCAGGGTCAAAAATACTTAAGTTTACGAATCAAACTACAAATAGTTTCGTAGGAAAATTGATGTATAGGCTGCCTTGGTTGGTTGGTTCCTAAGAAAAGGTACGAGTGCCTGACTACGTTATATGTAAAGCATAACTAATGATGCATATCAGCTTCTTCTTGTCGTGACGACAACAAACCTACAGCACCTACAGTGTACACCCAAAACTCCGCGACAAGAGTGGCGTTGTCAGTAGCCTTCATTAAATCTTCATGCGTACAGTTGTTTGGGCACTCAGGGCACGACATCATGTGTGCTTCGTCGTCTTGGGAACAAAACCACACTTTCTCTCCAAGTTTGAAGATCTTCCAAGAATCCCCACTTGAACAGATTGTCCTTACTATGGCCGACCTGAAAATTGTGGCATCTTAAGTAATTGTCATAATATAGTTACTTGTCGGCCGTTTGGTGTAGTGGTTCGAAACGGACTACTATTCCGGTAGTAGTTCAAATACTTCAAGCATCGCATTGCACGTCGTATACTAAGGCTGGGTTGCACCATCTTACTTTAACTTTGACAAACGTCAAAAATCTGTCAAACTCCATACAAAAAGCACCGGTTATCGTTAAAGTTACCGTTAAAGTTAGGTGGTGCAACTCAGCCTAAGTCATCATATTAAAAGTGTACCTACTACAGCTATGTACCATTTTTAATTAACTCGTGAAATGATCATGAAAAAATACTGCATGACGTTAAATAAAGACCTCGACTCAGCAAATCTTGAAACAAATGAGTGACAATATGCTGAAACCTACTTGGAAACGGAAAGGTCAGGTACACAAATACCTTAGTCACTGTGTACTCGTGGGATATTTACAAAAAGGTTTCACATGACGTGTATTTATTCCTAAAAGTCAACTTTTGATTTAAACGTAACACGTATGTTAATAATAACTCGTGTAACAGTGTTGCCTGGGATTTTAATTCATTAAAATAGGATTACGTGCGAGGTTCGAATGCCAGTGACGTAACGCGCGTTTTTGTCGGGAAATTAAAAAAATGGTGACGTCAGAGTCGAGGTGATGGACGACTTTTAACGATTTGGTATCAAACTGACCTAATGAATGCATTATTTCTCGGTAACGAGACTAAACTGTAAGCAAACCTGTAACGCCCCCGGGACTAGATGTCTATGGGCGACGGTAATCACTTACCATCAGGTGATCCGTCTACTCGTTTGCCTCCTATGTCATAAAAGACTGTAACGGTAAGGCAATAATCTTATGACCGAGATAGAGGTCAAAATAAAAATTTGCCCAAATTCTTTTCATATGAGCTACTCATTTTCCACAATCATCATCATCATCATCCAGGTTTCATATAAGTATTCGATCCTTGATGGTTGTAGTTATGTGTGATTCAGAATAATTGTTTTATTCAGTTAATATAATTAATCTGAACATCTTCCTTTATTATAGTAGTATAATGCTCGTTTTCACCATCAATTTTTAAGTGACCTCTATGATAACAAATAACAGGAATTTTGATGTCATATGTGTCACTTAAAAATTAGGAATTGATGGTGAAAACGGGCATAAATGTTCTAAACATAAGAGAAGTCTGCTAACTTCTACTACTATTCTAACTAGGTAACTTACTCGTAGTTACGCAGACTTTGCCAAATACTCGTATAGCGTAATTATCTCATGTACTCCATCATAGGAACATTTCGGACATTATTACATATTTTCTAGAAGAACCGATACAAATAACGTAACGCGGTAACGGTAACAAAGTTACAAAATGCCGGTAATGCTCCGGAACTCCGTTAAGGAGCGAAGTTGTAATTTAGTTTTTCCGGAACTTATTCTAACAAACAGTTCTACTAACTAACATTTGGTTTATCGTGTTAGCTATTCGCATTCTTACGGATGTTATTGTGTTTATAGAGATTTTATTTCTCCGTTTCTGTGATGAAGAAAAATATTTGCTAATAAATAATTGTTGTGTGTAGTTGGCGATCCACTTACCTACATGTACAGAGACATGTAAAAATTGCAACTTGCGACATGTTTTATATTCTGTCTTGAAAGTTAAAACGTGTATTAATCTCAAAAACATAGCTTAAAAAATTGTTTGCATTCCCACAAAAACTTACAACTTTGCTTGTAGGTTTTGTAAACTTTGCTCTGTCACCGCATTTTATGCACGAAAAATCAGGCAAGTCGCATGAAGCACCAAAAAGTTGAATCCCTAAAAGTTTCTGTGACTATAAAAATATTTCATTAAGCTTACCTTAAAAAACAACGCTAAAACTTTTAGCGGGAAATCTAACTCTGGTGGGGATCGTAAAAACATACTTCTGTACACAAAGATAAAAACTTTGCCTCGGTTAAAATGCATTTTTAACTGTGCCAGTGGAGGCACAACTTTTTAATCCGCTTGAAAACTTTGCCTAAAAGTAACCTCATAGTTTTAAATCCGGTAAGCTGACAGTGAAATACTACGTTTTGTCACGAAAAATCACCAGTTACACATTCACGCCCTCTATGTATTACTCGTACCTATAATACAGCAGTTTTATTTAATGTTAGTGTTTACAAGATTTATTAAATCGACCCCGTAATGTGAAATTTATTAGCTACATTACGTTTACATTTTGTATGTTTCATAATAAAGCTTTTATAATCTACATAATTTGATCAGCCAATGTTAATCTTACTTATTACATAGATTATTTCGTTATACATTTATACAGAGAATTATGATTGATGTATACGATATTTTGTTTCGAAAATTAATAACTTTCTTTCTTTTGTTTCAGGTTACAAAGCAATGGAACAGATCACAAAGTACTTAATCATCATCACGTCCCTCATGACCGTAAAGCTAACAATAACAGAGAGCAAAAACGAGACCAAACCGAAAATCGATCGCAGGTACTACGTGCCGCTTTTCATCAACGTTTGCGATATCGAAGACCGGAGATCGAAAGTGCATTGCTACTGCGACAGTAATAAACCAAAGATGGCGACTAAGGCCGACTGTTGGGTGTTCGCTGGAGGAATAACAGAAGACGACCCCATATGGCCTAGCTTTTCGTCACAATCTGAAATAGAACATCTGATGTTCAACGTAAGATCCGACGACGCCCTCACATTCATTCCCGCCAAAGCTATCGTGAGACTCGACAAATTGAAACACGTGTCGATACAATTCGGATCCATAGATGTCATCCCGCCCTACGCATTCACAAACTCATCCACAATCAAGCAAATTGTTTTGAAATCAAACAAAATTACTACCTTAGAGAAACACTCATTCGCTCAAATGATGATGCTGACGAATCTAAGTCTAGAAGATAACCTAATAGCTGAACTCAGAAGGGATGTATTCTTCAACTTACCGAACCTACACGTCTTGCACTTATCTAATAACAACTTGAGTTTGATCCACGAAGGTTGTTTCAAGCACTTGAATAATTTAATAGAGTTGAGATTGGATTACAATTACATATCAGTGATGACGAAGGAAACTTTGGAAGGCTTGGAGAATCTGTCGAGGTTGAACTTGAGAAATAATAAATTGACAATGATTGGCAATTTGGCGTTCAGTGAGTCTTGGGGGTTGAAGGAGTTGATGCTTGACAACAACGCTATTGAGTACATTTCGGACCGAGCGTTCGGCGGGCTCACTCAGCTGAGAAAGCTGACGCTGTCTGGTAATAGATTGACGACTTTCTACGAGGATTTGCTCGAAGACATAAACAGTCTTGTTGTCCTGGATTTACGGGATAACATTCTGGAGACTGTCTCGTACGAGTCAGTGCGACCGGTCGTGGAAAACGAAAAGTCCGCGTCTGTAGCAGTTTATTTGGATGGTGAGTAGAATTGTTTTGCACTTGTTTCTATCTATTACGAAATTACTACATTTTTAAGTGATGTGGTTTCAAATCGAAGTTGCTAGGCTTGGGAAAAAATTTAGATTTAAGATTAGTCAGAGAAATGGCTATTTTTGTACGTATGGCGGCACATTAGTTTGAATTAGTTAGTGTCATCTTATACTTATCGAACTAAGTGCGATTTTCCAACAAATGTATAGTCTGATACCCAATCTGTACCAAAATATTTGATATTTGATTTTATGTAGGCTTTATTAAAATGAATGCTGACCTCGATATGCCAAAGTTAATTTCATTAATTTGCAAAGCGCTAACTCGATATGATTCATTGTGGTGAAATCAAAACGTAATTGTGTTTCGCACTTTGATATTAGAGAGCTTTTTAATTGATAAAATATATCCGCTGATGTCTAAATAAATTGTGGGTATTCATATTTTTGAATGAATTATCAGATTTAGGATTATTTGTGTGCTTACCATGGGTTTACATTAGGTGTGTTCGCTAGCGACTACGTAAAAAAATGTCAGGAAATGTATGTCAGATTGCACCAGTGCCCCTAGCGGTTACTTTCAAGCACTAAAATCTTCATGGATTTTTGACGCACTTGCTAGCGACGACATTTAATTTAAACTCATGTTAGAGCTACAGGATGTGGTATAGCGTCAACTTAAGTTCAAATATCGGCGATAATGCTTTTCCAAGAGAAATCGAATCGGATAAAACCGCGGTTAAATGTTAGTATGTAATAAATAACCGTTTACGTCGTGTTCGCTGCTATCGGAGGCGGCCTGACGCTATTAAATCGGATATTATTTACATATAAATGCACGACATAATTAGGTTAAATGAGCCAGTATGTTGTAGCTTACGTGCCGGACTGTAATAATAACGCTCTCGTAATATTGTGTTAACTCCTTTGAAAAAAATTTGAGAATGGAATTTGAAGAGAATTCTGCTTGTAATATAAAACTTACAGAGTATAATGTCTTGTCGCAAAAGCTTATACAGTATTAAAATTGAAGCTTGTCTTGTTTTCTTAGCAAAAAATACCTGAGGCTGACGTAACTTTTTTATTGAACATCGAAATGACACAAAAACTTTCATAAAAAGTTCTGAAAATAAGTTGTGTTTTGCGATTAGTTTCAAACTAAATTTTCCGTCAACGGCAGCTTATTTACTCAAATATTATACTTTTGACGAAATAGGTAAATAGAACACGTGTAAGATCAAATTTTCTAAAACTTAACCTAAATGTAACAATGAACTAATTTTCATAGCTGCTATTCGTGTTAATTAAACAACATGTCAACCTACAAAATAGATGTTGACATACATTTTCATTATCATTATGCAAAATTCATGGACTTTGTTCACGTTCGTAATAAAGTGATTCATAATTCCAAAGTAGTGGAATGGACTTCACTTCGTAGCCGCTTAATAACTAAGGCTGAGTTGCACCACCTAACTTTGACCGTAACTATAATGATAACCGGTGCTTTTTGTATGGAGTTTGACAGATTTTTGAAGTTTGTCAAAGTTAAAGTAAGGTGGTGCAACCCAGCCTAAATTGAATTAAAACCAAGTTTTAGGAAAACTGTAAAGTATTAACAGTTTAACGATAATTTCGTGTTGAGCAGAACACAATTATCGATATCTCACTTAATATTCCAGACAGCACCATTTCAGTGTGATCCAAAAACTTAATACCAGCTGTACGAAGCATGATGTAGTATCGGAGGAAATCACTATAACCGTAAATCTTGTTATCGGTCCGAAACCTGAGGAGAATCATAAGTTATGACGCGGTTAGACTACAGAACTGCACTATAAACCTGGTTCATATTCTAGAGTAGTGCTGTGCCGAATCTAATTTAGCTGTCGATAGTTTTCTCATTTCCTTTTATCTTGAATTGAATCTTTGTCAATGACGTCAGACTTTATGAGCCGTAATAGGTATCTGATATTCAAATCTTAATTTGCAATGTTATGTACCTACATACTTTATTAAGTAAGATCAAAGTACATAAAATGATTGTTTAATGTCCAATCCAATTTGGGAAATGAACGGAGAAGCGTACAAGTGCTGGCAAAGTTCTCTTCCACATCTGACCTTATCTTAGGTACTTATTTATGATGGAAAAATATATCAATAGAAATAAGTAGCTACCTCATTTTTGCGTAGACCTCCTTATCGCTCGGATTGTACTAATAATGTCTCCAATTTGTTAACACGTGTTACAAGATTGATTAACTGCTCATAATATAATTTCAGAAGCCTGTAGTTTGCTTTATATTTTGCATATTCAACTAACTTATATCTTGCCCGGAAATAAAAATTAGCTACTATTTGCCAGATGCAAACATTAATTTTATTTTAACTAGCACCAAAAATATAAGACGTCCTTCACATAATGTAATGTTAACAATTTAACAGAATTAGTAATAACAATGTGTGTCTGTCAAACATAATCCAATGAAAACACACTTTTGGTGTGATGAAGCGGAGCCAACATTGAATGCTAAATAAATATTGGGTACAAACTAGTACAATATTTATTCAAGGACTATTACTGTCGATACAACATCGATTACATATTTCACATCACTACCGAAGCCCGGTTCATATTTTAGACTACCCGACACAGAAGTTTCGCAGCCAAATTTATTTGTACGCATCAAAGAGCTTTAGTTTATCCACATATTCTATAAATGGATTTCAATTAAATGCAAATTGAATTTATATTTTAATATCAGTTATCTTCATGATGGTCTTAAGCGTGTCTTAAGTTAACATTGTAATTATTACATTGTAAGATATTAGAACGATATTTTATTCTATCATTGAACTGTTTATGACAAGGTAGGTATGTTATGTATGGACCGAAACGTTAACAAAGCTTCTTCAATTTGTATATTTCGGGCATTATTGTCTCCTTGTCACCTGTCGATGTCATTTTATTAAAATGACACGGGAATTATAGAAAGAACTGGCAGTTATTATAGTCATGTTATTCTTTTGTTTTTTCTCTAAACAACGAAACAGTAACCATTTATTTGTGTAGCAAAAAACTACATACTAGTACTTATTCACTTTATTAATATTTCTAGTTTAATCAAGCAACTTTGAAAACTTGTTTAGTACTCTACACGTTCCAAACTTATCCTTTTAAGCTAATATCTAGGTTAATCACTTACATAAACTATCGTACATGCTCATGTAATATTCTGAGTTATCCGCTATCAAGGTATCGACAGATGTTTGGAACATTTTGTTCTTAAAAGTTAGATATTTACTTACTCAAAAGATTTAAGCTAGGTCGCACCATCATACTTTAACTTTGACAAACGTCAAAAATTTGTCAAACTCCATACAAAAAACACCGGTTATCGTTGTAGCTACGGTCAAAGTTAGGTGGTGAAAATCAGCATTAAACTTCCTATTTATCGGAACAAAACTAAGAAACACGTGTTGGTAGAAATTTCGTGCTACTTTGGGTGACATGTTCTGACATATTTTTATTACCATATGTCTGACAATGCCAGACAGAAAAGCGCAGTGCAGTTCCTACGAGAAAATAGGCAGCATATTATACCTTTTGATACCCCAATAGAAACCTGTCTACCTGAAGTTAACACTGACATCGCTTAACTTCTGTCAATTGTAATAGTAGAACGATTCTGAAACGTCAAGTGGCAAAAGTATTGATAGCAGCGCTCTCTGTCATAATTATAAGGGACACTTCAGTGTTGTGCAACGTGGCAAAAATTTGAAACTAGCGCCCTGTCAACGTCATGTGTGGAACACTTCAGTGTTGGACAACATAAACACGAAGTGAATGTCAGTCTTTGTAATAATGACCCGGAAATACCAAAATAGATAAAACAAACACACGTGACAGAAGGTATAAGTACCATTGAGCCACTGCCGATCAACTGAAATTGTTTAAATTGAGGGCTTTCAACTATACTTTACTGTTTATACTCATGACGTAATGATGTAATACCAAGTCGCCCACTCGTTTGAAATTTTAGTTCAGTAATTAAATAAACAATGTCTTAAGAGCTATGAAAAACCTAGCTGTATGTAGGTATACAGACAACGGCAACAGATTATCTGACTATATTTTTATTACAAAAGAGCTTCAAACATACATACATTTCCGGGCGACTGCCATTCTATCTGAGCTAAGTACTTAGACACTGGATGAATCCGGCAAGCGATAGGTCGTGGGTTCGATTGCCGCCTTAGGCAGTTCGATTTTTTCATTTATTTATAACTAGCTTTCCGCCAGCAGCTTCGCCCGCGTGGACTTCGAAAAACCCAAATACATATAATTTTACGGAACCCTATTTTTTCCAAAATAAAATATAGCCTATGTTACTCGTGGTAATGTATCTTTCGAATGGTGAAAGAATTTAAAAAAACGGTCCAGTAGTTTTTGAGCCTATTCATTACAACCAAACAAACAAACAAAGTTTTCCTCTTTATAATATTAGTGTAGATAGATTTACAATTATTATTTATACAGATTATTTATTTATTGTACACAAATCACTAGACCACGACACGTCAATAACCAATCCTCGCCAAAACTCTTAACTCTTTAACTCCATCCTTCCTGACTTCACTTCACAAGATAACTCAGCGATCAGCGGCAATGCAGTACACGCGTCGCATTTTTGAGTTAAGTCATCGTTCACGTGTTTGACTTATACTTGCTAGAGAAATGATATGAATTGGACCCGAAGGCAGTAAACAGCAGGGAAGAGTGTGACGTTCGATATTGACACACCTTCGATTTGACATGATGGCATATAGCCTATAGTTTTGACAGCTGTCAAAACATTGAAAGCAAAGCCCGTTGTTTGATAGACGCTAACAATCTAGGCTTTTATTTCAGTACTTACCTCACTCCACAGACCTCATTATTAATTTATCATCGTTTCCAAATATTCCACAAAACACGAGGTTTTGATA